TGCAGCAGGGTTGGGGTCATAGCTCTCTCGGAGGGCTGGGCAGTGTAGCTTGTGGGGGGAGCACAACAAGCAGGGTGCCCCGGGGAGGATGGGGGCATGCATCATCGGCACTGGGGGTACTTGGGGTGCTGCTGGGCCAGGAGAGCGCCCCCAGCCCTAGCAGTCCGTGGAGTGCCCCATTCCTTGGGTGTTTGGGTGCTCAGCTCCTACCTCTTGGGCTGGGGTGGGCACCAGGTGCAGACTGGTGTCTGGTGGCTGCGGAGACTCATGGGACTGAGCCTCCCCTGCACCCCCCTCCAGGTGCGGCACCGTCAGTCGGGGCAGATCATGGTGCTGAAGATGAACAAGCTGACCAGCAACCGGGGCAATATGCTGCGGGAGGTACAGCTGATGAACCGCCTCTCGCACCCCAACATCCTCAGGTAGGACCCGCTCCCCCACTGCCATCTGTGGTCAGAGCTGCCACCAGGGCTGGGCGAGCTCCGGGGGCTGGCCCGTGTCGCAGCCACCCTCAGGTCCCCTCTGTCTTGCAGGTTCATGGGGGTGTGCGTGCACCAGGGACAGCTGCATGCGCTGACGGAGGTGAGAGCGGGGTGGCAGCCGCGAGTCTTGGGGTTCCTGCAAGCAGGGCCTGGGGAGGGGACAGCAATGGCTGCAGGGACACATTCTTGGCCCATGGCACATGTGCAGGGCAAGGTCTGCAGGGTGGCTGTGCAGTGGGGTGGTTGGAGGATGTGTTGGGATGAGAGATAAGGCATCCAGCTTTGTGGGACCAAGGGGGAGGACAGCGATACAATGGCCTGGCTCTTCCCATCAGTACATCAATGGTGGTAACCTGGAGCAGCTGCTGGACAGCCCTGTGCTCCTCTCCTGGTCCGTGCGTGTCAAGCTGGCCCTCGACATTGCCCATGGACTGCGCTACCTGCACTCCAAGGGCATCTTCCACCGTGACCTCACCTCCAAGGTATAGGATGCTCCAAGGCTTCCCATTTCACTCCTTGTCCAATACCCAGTGTGCTGCCTCAGGCATGGCCAACATGGGGCTGCTCTGTACCGGGGCATCTGGGGAGCAGTGGCCGGCAAGGTGGGGCTGGCGTGATTGGTGTGACAGGGGTCCTGCTGTGTCCCCAGAACTGCCTGGTGCGCTGCGAGGCCAATGGCTACACGGCTGTGGTGGGTGACTTTGGCTTGGCAGAGAAGATCCCGACCTACAGGTGAGTGGGCAGTGTCCACCTGTGCATCCCTATCCTTGCAATTGGTGTTTTCCAGCCCACTTGGAGCAGGAGTTGGGAAGGGGTGGATATTTGGGGTACAGCTGGAAGGGCAGGGCGGGTGGAGTCCCGGAAAGTGGAGTCTTGGGGGAAGATGGGACACATTTGGGGCTGCCTAGGAGGGAATGTAGAAGGAGATGGTGTGGGTGGGGAGAGACGGGTTCGTGGGATGCATGGAGGAGGCTTAGCCTGGGAAGGCAGGCAGAGATGGCGATCTGGGCTGCCCCAGCAGGAGGATGGGAGGTGGGAAAGGGGCAGCGGGCTGATGTCCTATTGTGTCCCCCAGTGAGGGCAGTGAGAAGGAGCCGCTGGCTGTGGTGGGGTCCCCATACTGGATGGCGCCTGAGGTGCTGCGAGGGGAGATCTACAACGAGAAGGTGAGGCTCTGCAGCTGCTGCGTATGGGGCTTTGTCAAAGCTTGTGCCACCGCCGGCAGTTTGCAGGATTTATGCCTCTGGGTGTGGTGGGACACAGAGGGAAGGAGCTGGCTGTCCTTGGGTGGAGCAGTGGCAGGGACCCTGGGGTGACTCCATGGGGGAGGAGGGAGGAGGGGGGCTGTGGGTTCACAGAAGGGTGGGCATGTCACCTTGGGACCCCAGAGTCCCCCCTGCTGACACCCTGCTCTCTGCAGGCTGATGTTTTTGCCTATGGCATCATCTTGTGTGAGACCATCGCTCGTGTCCCCGCTGACCCTGACTACCTGCCCCGCACTGAGGTGCGTTCTGGGGATGGGGACACGGAGGTAGGGCAGCAAGCAGCGGCACCAGGGCTGGGGCTGCTTTGCTGAATGAGGGGGACCGCCCTCCTGTGCAGGGCAGAGCCCCGTGTACAGGAGCTGCCCTGCATCTTGGGGCAGGGGTGTCACGTCCCAGACATCTCCTGGCAGCAAGTGCTTCTCCCCAGGGAGGGATGCTTTCTACCTGTCCTTGGGAGCGTGGAGTTGGGCTGGGTGGGAGGGAGGGGGTGGTAG